AGGGAAAGAACTGTGTGAGACAAATTACTATCTAACACGAATTACTATCTAACATTGCTGCAAGAATTCCAGCTTTATGTCATTTGTTTACAACCTGTTCCTTGCTTTATATTATTATTTCTAAAAATAGTGGTTATAATTTCTGTAGATTTTCATTTCTATGATCAAAACATGCTTTCTATCCTCAAATGGTTAGTTTGAAAAAAGAAGAACAATAATAATAAATGAAGAGGAAGAGAGAGAGGAGGAAAAAAATTTGCCAAGTCCCAAGTTCTATACCAGGTACTTAAAAAAATCTTCCTTAATTCTCCACATAACCCTTCAAGGTAGGCTCTTTAATTAATCTTATTTTTCAAATAAGTAAACTGAGTCTTGGATTAAGGAAATAATACCCAGGGTCCTGCAGCTGTTCATTAAGTGTCACATTAGAACACCCTTATGGTGACTTTAAAGTTAATGTCTTAATTAACTACTATATTCCTCCCATTCTAAAAAAAGAGGATTCTTTCTTAGGGAATTAACAGTAGGCTGTACAGGACAAGAAGGACTGTTCATTAAACTAACAAGGGATAATGAAGACCCCTCTGGCAGGGAATAATACTTTACATGTTTCTCATTTCTCATTATGTCCTTCCATGTTCAATAACACAGTCAATCCAGCTGAGCTCCTGTAGTGATATTTCAAAAATTGCCCTGACTGCCATGATTCAATTGTTGAGGACTTGCTTGTTACAACACAGGAAACAGTTATATTATGTACCTTACATTATACAGCAATAAGACTTAACTCTGAAATATGTCTATCATTATTGGTCTTTTGTATCCATGGTGATTTAATGTCATCTTGCCGCCAGTCATTTGACTTAGGCTAGTGGTTTTCAGAGTGGACCTTGCATCAGAATCTCCTGTAAGGCTTCTTTGAAACACACAGATTACTGGATCCGACTCTCAGACATTTGGATTCAGTAGACGTGGGTTGTAGACCTTAAAATTTGTGTTTCTAACAAGTTCCCAGATGATGCTAATGCTGCTGCTGGTCTGAAGACCACACTTTGAGAACCACTGGCCCAGACCAGGGTTTTAAAACCTTTTTCTGTAAAGAATCAGGTAAATACTTTTGGCTTTGTGGACCATACAGTCTCTGTCACAACTGCTTAACTCTTCCTTTGCCATGGAAAGCAGCCATACACAATACCTAAATAAGTAGGAGATGGCTGTGTTTCAATAAAATTTTATTTACAGAAACAGGTGTCAGGACAAATTTGGTAAATGGACCACAGGTGGTCAACCTCTGGCACAGACCAACTTTGTATATATCAAATATACTCTGTGACTCCATGAGAATAAACTATAGATTTATCCACAGAAACCCTTTCTAAGTTTCTAAATAAAATCTGCAGAACTATAACAGAGACTAAGCTGATTGTGTTAAACCAGCACAGAGGAGAAATCCCAAAGCTTTCCTATGAACCCAATAATAAAGCAATAGTTTTATGCACGAGTCTGCATCTTATAAACAGTTTTTGTTCTAACATGCCCATGAACTATACCTTCATTTAAAAATTTTAGTTTTAATTGGATATTGTTTACAATGCTAGAAACTATAAATATACCAAATAAAAGAAAACTAACACTATATTGAATGACATAGATGCCAACCCAATCAGATTATCTATTGACTTTATAATAAAATGAAACAAAACAAAGATACTCTACTTGCTGTGAGTGTGCCCAGATTTAATATATTTGGTCTTTACCTGGAATGGTGTACTCCAAACTAATTTAAAATGCCAATATAACCCTAAAAATCTACTAAACTATATATGCCAGTGAACCCACTGCATTAGCTCTATCCTTACAAAATGTAAACTCCTGTAAAAAGGCATCATTCAGAAATTTTTTTCTGAATTTTTGTCATAATGGATTGTGATTTAGTACCCTGAAAATAATTAGATGCAAGTGCCATGAGGAAAGCTAGTATTATGGGTCATCTTATAAACTTAAAATGCAAGTATTATGTTAAACATCTCCAACAATGCTATATTTAGATGCAATATTTAGATAAAATCTCTACAATTATATATTGTAACATTTTGATAATTTAAAGATGGATTAAAATGGCTTTCTGAGGGGATACATGACTTCTTTCAAAATCTTTTCCTAAATTTGATTAAATCAAATGTTTCATTTTGATCAATGGATTTAGATTTGCTACTAGACATTTATTCTTTAGTCTAATGAAGTTGTTTCCAAAGAGTCCTCAGTTTTTAAAAAAAAAGGTTGAAAGAGAATTGTGGTCAAATGACACTGGAAAATGTTCACTTTAAAAGTTTTTTGTTTTGTTTTGTTTTTGTTGTTGTTGTTTTTTACTTCAGGACTCTTTGGAAATAATATTCATGGTACAGATATCTAAGAAAGATGTGGTAAATCGTGTAGCTTTTTCCAATCTCATTTGAACATGGAACCAAGTTATTAGTAGAGCATTCTGAAGTACAAGAGAAACACTTAAGAAAACAATGTTCTTAGTGACTGAATCCAGGTACCATATGATATTTTAAAAAAATATAAATTCAATTAGAATCAACAAGTATTTGTTAAGTACCTCTGTTATTTGACTTATCAGTTAAAGGTTAACGTTTTACTTTTACTATGCCACTCACCTAAGTCTACCTAGAATGTAGTTAAACCTATTAAACATACTTACACTCCTCTTCAGGCCTCTTCCGAAGGGCTGCACGAACTTCTTTACAAGGACTTCTTTGATATTGTGGGGGATTCCTTCCCCTTATTAGGTTCTCCATCCTACAGAAGGGAATTAACAGAATATTTTAATACCAAAATCTTGATAAATTTTAACAAGTTAAATGGTTTAAATCAAGAGTCAACAATTCAGGTAGACCACACCATTAAGAGTATCTAGCAAGGAGTAAGACAGTAGGGAGTGGCAGTGACTGTGGTAAACTGGAGAGTGCTTGACTTTTCTTAGGCATTCCAATTTTAAAAATATAAAAACACATGTGGATAAAACTCATATACACATTCTCCAGTTAGAGACTGTTAGGGACTGAATGTTTGTGCCCCATCCCCTCCACTCCTCCAACCTTTCCCCTCCACCCCGCCATTCATATGTTGCAACTCTAATCCCCAGGGTAATGGTATTTGGATGTGGAACCTTTGATAGGTAACTAGGTTTAGTTGAGGTCATGAGGGTGGGGCACGCATGATGGAATTAGTATTTTTATAAGATGAGGAAGAGAGACCAGAGCTCATTCTCCCCTGCGATATGAGGACACAGTGAGAAGGTAGTCATTTACAAACCAGGAAGAGGGCTCGCACCAGGAACTGAATCTGCTGGTGCCTTGATAGTAGACTTCTAAGACTCCAAAACTGTTAGAAATAAATGTCTATTGTTTCAGCCACCCAGTCTGTGGTATTTTGTTATAGCAGTCCAAGCTAAGTCAGAGACCCATTAACTAAAGAACGATTACTTATAAAGCAAACACATTTATCAAAAATCAGGTTACCCTTTAGAAAGAAAGATCATATCTTTCACCAACATTCTGAATACCAGTTTTCAGGAGTTTTAACTGCTGCTTTCCTCTGTGCTAATGATTAAATTGGGAGGGGTTTTCTAATTCTAATCATTGTGACTTCTTAAAAATATGGTCAATATAAAGTGTACTTCTCAGTTACTTCCAATGCTGACAACCAGAAAATAATAATAAATGGGCCAAATGTAACTTGGGTTGGCACATTAAACAGCATATACTCTGTGGTTAGTATTTTCTGGTTTTAGTAAACCTTACAGTTTTGTGCCAGCAATGCACACTCTGCTTATTTTGAAAACATTAAACAACTATTGAGTGTTTAGGATTTGAAAATTCAGAACAAAACAATGATATTTATCATTTTAAAAATATAAGCATAGCTTTTAACATCTACATAGTTATTCTAATGGGATTTCACTGGTTTTAACAAACATGCTGGCTGATAGCATGTATTGAAAATGGTGTGGTTGTTATGGGTTATGGTGGTAGAAAGTCTCCTAGGGTGAGTAGTACAGAGAATTATATTTCTAGTGTCTAGAGAGGAAATTAGGAAAGGATAATCCAATAAAAGCAATATGTAAAATGGTGTGAAATATGAGATAAATAATCTTTTGTACTAGAAGAGTAACATAACACTATATCTATGAGAAGCTGTCACTGGTTCTTAGAAATACTTTTCCAAATATACTTCCTTAAATCAAACCATTCATAGGTAGGGACTACTTTATATGTGTGTGTATGCTCACTCATATGCCCATACTTGTGTATGTGAAGTACAAGAAAATATTTCTCAATGTGTGATGATAACTTGAAATTTAGTTTCACTTGAAGATCATTTCAAGTGAGAAAAAGAGTTCAAGGTTATGATAATACAATGACAGGAAATCAAGTGAAAACCTCAAGAGTTTAAGACATAATTTGTTTTAATACTATATATAGGGGCAAAATTAAGCTTCCAGGACCATCCCTGCAGTTTCAGTATGAGGATTAGCCATGTAAATTATATAAAATGTTCTAGATTCTGACTCGAATTAATTCAGTGCACTATTTTGATTACATGTTTCAGAAAATACATGTATTTTCATGGTGATATAATAACAATTTAAGTGAACTTTAGTTAATCACTAGTATTTACAAGCTCGATAGTAAAATATAACAAACATAACCTACAAATGCAAGTATCTACATAAAATTGTGATTTAATTTTAAAAACCAATTAGTCATCGTGATTATAAAGATGAGGGATGACAACTTACCTGGTTGGAAATCTATGTAAACCAGTCTCTTAGATAGGCTATTACTTTTCCTTTTATGTATCTGACTATCGAGAATGTGAAAACGAAAATGGTCTAGTTGATTTTGACGTAATTATATTTGAGGGTATGTCAGAAAAACTGAAATACAAGTTAGAAAGTACTGCCAAAGGCTCCAGGAAATTTCACTTACATGGTTGCTATTGGCATCAAAGATCACCAAGAATCATGGTGCCCAAATTCTGCATTATGGGAATGCTCACAAGCAGATATGCAAGACATTATGCAGTGTTAGCAATGCCGCATAGTTTAACTGTGAGGAGCCTAGGTTCTGGAATAGACTGCCTGGGCTAAACTCCCATTCTGTCTCTTAAAGGATGATTTTAGGAAAAGATACTTAGCTACTTTATACCTTAATTTTCTCAGCAATAAATGGGGATAACATTAGCTACCTCATAGGATTGTTGTGAGGATTAAATACATTAATAGTGTACATTTGCTTACACTGTGTCCACCACAATACAAGAGCTCAGCAAATGTAGTTATTATTAATCATAATTATCCCAAATAAAAATGAAATCATATACTAAAATTTTAAATGTCTGGTATGTTAGGAGAAATATGAAAACTAGCCTTTATTTAATAAAGAAAAAGAACAGATGACACTGTTGAGAAAAAAAATTCTGGCTAAACAAATGTTCTGGTTATTGGAAAAACACAAAACATCCATGCACATAAATTGCCAATTTTCAAAATGAAGAACTTAATAAACTGTATTTCATTTTATTCAGTAAGATGTAAAGGATTATTATATGACAATCTTCCAAGGATACTCAGATGGATAAAAGTGGGCTGGTATCCTCATGAATTAATTAAAGTGCTAAATAACTTATTCATTCTTAGAGAATTCAGAAGATGTTACAAAACCGTATAGTGCCCTTTGACCTTAGCAAGAACAATGAATATATCTTAAAATGTATTACCATTTATCATTTATTCCATCTAATCCTTACAACAACCTTCTGAAAGAACATTTTGAAGTTGAGGAAGCCAATGTTCAGAAATGTTCAGTGACCTGATCCTGGCCACACAGGAAGTAAGAGGTGCAACTGAGATTTAATCAAGGTTTTCTGATTTTTAAAATCTTTTTCTAGTTGCTTTTTAACCCACTATTTCCATGAGTCTATGATTAGCTATAGATAATTTCACTAGCAGACTGAACACTTGCGATTCTACTATGTCGTGCATATTTAATTTTGATGGAATTCTTATTGAACATAATAATATTTAAATTAGTATATACTCATATATAAATAGTATATATTACATTAAATATACTACTACACAAATATATATACATTTGTAAAACTGTTTATCTGCTAATTACATGTTGAGTTTTTTTATCATTTAGCTATTTTCATTGAAATGTTTGCTTCTATTAGTGATATTTTAAGTTTTTAGAACCACGAAAAAGATAACGGGAAGGGCCGAGGGGAAGATGGCGGAAGAGTAAGATGCGGAGATCCCCTTCCTCCCCATAGATACACCAGAAATACATCTATCTACACGTGGAACAACTCCTACAGAACACCTACTGAACGCTGGCAGAAGACATCAGACCCCCCAAAAGGCAAGAAACTCCCCACGTACCTGGGTAGGGCAAAAGAAAAAACAGAGACAAAAGAATAGGGACGGGACCTGCACCAGTGGGAGGGAGCCGTCAAGGAGTAAAGGTTTCCACACACTAGGAAGCCCCTTCGCTGGCGGAGACTGTGGGTGGTGGAGGAGGGGAGATTCGGAGCCGCGGAGGAGAGCGCAGCAACAGGGGTGCGGAGGGCAAAGCGGGGAGATTCCCGCACAGGGGATCGGCGCCGACCGGCGCTCACCAGCCCGAGAGGCTTGTCTGCTCACCTGCCAGGGAGGGCGGGGCTGGGAGCTGAGGATCGGGTTCGGTAGGAGGGCAGGGAGAGGACTGGGGTTGGCAGCGTGAACACAGCCTGAAGAGGTTAGTGCACCACGGCTAGCCGGGAGGGAGTCCGGGAAAAGGTCTGGAGCTGCAGAAGAAGCAAGAGACTTTTTCTTCCCTGTTTCCTGGTGCGCGAGGAGAGGGGATTAAGAGCGCTGCTTAAAGGAGCTCCAGAGACGCGTGCGAGCCGCGGCTAAAAGTGCGGACCCCAGAGACGCGCAGGAGACGCTAAGGCTACTGCTGCCGCCACCAAGAAGACTGTGTGCGAGCACAGGTCACTATCCATACGACCCTTCCGTGGAGCCTGTGCAGCTCGCCACTGCCAGGGTCCCGGGATCCAGGGACAACTTGCCTGGGAGAACGCATGGCGCGCCTCAGGCTGATGCAACGTCACGCTGGCCTCTGCCGCCGCAGGCTTGCCGCGCATCCACAGCCCTCCCTCCACCAAGCCTGAATTAGCCAGAGCCCCCGAATCAGCGGCTCCTTTAACCCCGTCCTGTCTGAGCGAAAAACAGACGCCCTCTGGCGACCTACACGCAGAGGCGGGGCCAAATCCAAAGCTGAGCCCCTGGAGCTGTGAGAACAAAGAAGAAAAAGGGAAATCCCTCCCAGCAGCAGATTAAAGCTCCACAATCAACTTGATGTACCCTGCATCTGTGGAATACATGAATAGACAAGGAATCATCCCAAATTGAGGAGGTGGACTTTGAGAGCCAGATTTATGATTCTTCCCCCTTTTCCTCTTTTTGTGAATGTGTATGTGTATGCTTCTGTGTGAGCTTTTGTCTGTATAGCTTTGCTTCAACCATTTGTCCTAGGGTTCTATCCGTCCATTTAAAAAAAATTTTTTTTCTTAATAATTATTTTTTTATTTTAATAACTTTATTATATTTTACTTTATTTTATTTTACATTATCTTCTTTCGTTCTTTTTTCCTTCCTTCCGTCCTTCCTTCCTTCCTTCCTCCCTCCATGACTCCCTCCCTCCTTTCTTTCTTTCTTTCCTTCTTTTCTCCTTTCTTTCTTTTTTTCTTC